AAAGTATTGATTCTTTTGTTTAAATTCGCTATGCACTAACCATGTTTGTGTTTGTTTCTTCTGTCAGGAATTAAGAATCTGAAATTATTATATTAAGAAATCTTTAGAACTAAAACAAAATGCATGGCTTTCTGTCTGAATTGAAACACGATCTGGTCCATTACAAGAGTACATCACCGGACAGTAATGGACGACGAGACATATCGAGAAAGTCTCTTTTATTTCTTTCCTTTTTAGAGAATTTTTTTGTTGGCCGAAAAGTAATTAGTCCAAAGCATTAGAACAAAACATCATTTCTTGCTTTCGTGTTTATATGCAATAGTTCTTAAACAAATACGAAAAGTGACTATAAGTTTTTCGAAAATATATTTGTAAAACATAAACACTTGAGGCAAAAATAGAAAAAACATAAACATTAATCCGTTTGCGTGTACAAGTTAATTCCCCCAAGTGATTGCATATTAAACAATTATGTGATTTCTCAATCCTTATGGATAATTTTTAAGAACTGTTTTCATATAATATATAAAAAATGTGAAAATCAGAATCATTTAATGGTTTATGATGTGATCAGCAAAAGAAGAAGAAAGAACTTCTCTGATTTGGAAAGGACAAACTCTTTTTTTGCAATTACAATTAGAAAGAAACTTTGAATAATAAAATAAACAATTAAAAAATAAATAAAGAAAAGCATATAAAGTGAAATAGCTTAATAAATAAAATTGAAGTCTTGACCCAAAAAAACAATTGTAGGTAGAAAGCGGCGTCATTCGATTTGTGGATAGCCAAGTGTGCCTTTTCTGTTTTATTATTTATGTACCAAACAAAATTTGTCAAAATGGTCTTCACAAACCACACAATAGCCAATTTTTTGATGAGCTTTTTCATCTCTTTCGATCATTTCCAAAACTATCTTCAGATTTTATAGTTTCGAGCAAAACAAAAAAATCCCCCTACGTTTCGGTTTTAAATTTTTTCTTCTTTGCTTGCATCATATTTATGCTCTCACAGACCACAAATATTTCTACACGTTTATCGATTAGCTAATTATATAAACTTTTAAATTATGATCAAAGATATTGTGATTGATTGGTTCTGTTCTTTTTGTAAGACCTCGTCCAAATTAAAATAGCTTCTGGTCCAAGATCTGCAGGTTATTTGCAAAAAACAACAAAACAAAAAAAGAAGTTTTGATCCTATCGGTTTGGTCCAATATGATCCTTTCGGCTCATCAAAATATCCTAAAATATCACCAAATGTCCATTCGTTATAAGCCTGAATTATCTGGACTTCGAGATATCCTCGACTTAAATGTTGATATAGACCATCGTGTAAAGTGATACAAATATCTAAAGTTAAATTGGTTGCGACTTCCGAGTGCTGATTTGTAATTTCATGCATGGATTAATATGTTATCCCGTCCAAAAAACTATAATGGCAAATTTTTTTTAATCAGTTATTCTTGTACATAAAATTTTAGTTAAATCCTTTAAGTTTTTCCTTGTTACTAAAAGAGAACTGGATATTTCATCCATAATATTCTTTTTATTCTTGTGTTCAGTAAACTAAAAAGAATACTAGCATTTATATGATTAAACCCGGCAAAAAATTATGGATCGAAGCTTCTCATGTCTGGCTGGTTCTAAACTGTCAAAATGGGTCGCATGTATCCACTTGTTACTTATAATAAATCAGTTATATAGTATCATCTATTGACAATTTATTTTACTTATTCGTAGAGCATATCTTGATTTGATTATTGAATTTTAATACATAATATATACATTCCACGTACTGGAAATACAAGCTTCGCTTGTCAACCTGTCATATACCGATACACGTGGTAGATCTCAAAGCTTCGAAATAATCTAGCGATAAAGAATTGATCTGGCAAACTAATACTGTTTTTATCATACTTTTAGTCAACAACTAAATTTATACATCGATTCATAATTCCAGAAACTTTTAAGTGTTTCTTTCATTCAAAAAAAAAAAATTGCATAGTAGACTACATATATACTAATAGATAACGCCTGATTGAGTTTGGTTTTTTTCTTATAACCCTGATATTGATTATGGTTGTAACTATACATTTAGATTTTAGAATTTAAAAATTTATGGTACTATATATGATTTGAGTTCAAATATGTGTATTTCAGATATATTTATATCTAATATGAGTGCATGTAGATAAATATCAAAATAAAATAAAATGGGGGCGTCAGTAATCGTCAAGAACGTTCCGAGTCAAAAATAGTTCATGTACTTATTATACTAATGTTTATCATGTGTCAATCTCCCAACTCAACCAAAACTCAAGTAACGTATACTATCCGTACGATGAACATGAATAAACGACTGGAGTTCCAATCCAACGGTCAAAAACAAGCCTACTGTTTCCAACTTTCGTTTCCTGCATTGTACCAGATCACTTCAAGTGGCAGTTTGCAAATAATAAAAATCTCGAGACGCCGACAAAAACGAAAATGACGGTTAACGAGAATCTTCGTGTAATAATTGCAGAAACCGACACTTTATGTCAAAGTAAGCTCAAACATAAGCTATGATTAGGATTTTCTAATTTATACATTAGTTTAGTTAATTAAATAAACACACTTGAAATGTTGTGACAGTGGCCATATCACTTGGTACTAGACTGTATCAGATGAATATGAGATTCCTCACGCCGACTTTTATCGGGATTTTAGGAATGACAACCCATTAACAGTGTGATTTATAGTGTTTTAATTAAACACACTTGCTAATTATCTCAATTTTCTCTCGGTGAGTAATAGTTTATTATTTTGTTACTTGATCTGTCTTTTAATCTTTTAGTATGTATAATATCATATAGGACAAATGCTACCAAAAGTGCATTACAAGTCTTCTTTGTTCACATACCCCATGCAAATCTCTCGGAATTCCAAGGACGTAGTTTTACAAGTGTCTTTAATCTTGTACAGATAAAATCTTTTGGATTTGAGAATCTCAGCTCTCATTCGGTCAAAGATTCATGCAATTTCTATCTTACTCTTACCTCAAATACACCAAACCAGATTTTGTTAGATAGTGATATGAATATCAATTGTCGCCATAAATATATAATATTATCTGGTAACAATCATAAACTCAAAACCTTAAATGCAAATTAGTTTATATCAATAACATAAACACCATAAATAGTTTATCACGTTTGCATAATAGATCGAACCCAAATATCTTTTCAATGTGTAACTGAAGCCTCTTCCAAACAAAATTCGAAATCCAAGCTTTTAAAATGCAACTTTCTCTGAAGGGCAACAATTACGTACACTCGATATAAAAACAAAACATTCATTAAATTGCTGCTTTAATTAATTTTTCCTTTCGCACAAGGGTTTTAATTTCCACCACATACCGATTTTTAGTAACCGGCCACGAATGTAACGTTATATAAAATGTAGAACACGTTAATTTCGTTTGTCTCTTACAATAATATACAAAACAATCGTACGTCAATGACGCAGTTAAGTCTAGATATGATACTAGCTCGTCCGTTACATGTTGATCCGACCCGGCCCATTCACTTTGGTTTTCTATTCCTCTCACACACTGACCTGTGCAACGTGCATGTATGCCATGTAAGAAATGAAACTATGTGTGTCCTTGCCACGTGGATTCACTAGTCTCGAGAGAGCCTGCAATAAACTTTGGGATTTCATGATATCAATTGTTTGTGGACTTCAATGCAACAAACCTCTTTCTTTACAGTTTACAGAGATATTCTCTTTGATATGAAGCAAGCAACATTAACCGAATAATAATAACAACTCGCTATGACTATAGTCTATAGTCTAAGATTACCTTTCCAATATACGTTTCTCGTCACTTATACAAATCCTTTTGTTCATTGGATTATTGAGATTTATGGAGATCTCTCTTGAAACTAGTGTTTCAACTTTTTACCGCAAATTTTAATAGCATGTTCATGAAACAGAAACAATATAGGTTTAAATGTTGGCAGCAAAGTCAGAGAGTGTTAAATGTTAACCCATTGCAGACAATATTTTATATTCTATAATGTTTCATAACATATAAAGTTTAAGATATATTATGTATCGAGTTTCCACAAATTTATAATTTTGATTGTTTGATTGCTTTCAATATATATACTATCCTTTGCTTGTTTTGTTACGGTTTCAAGAGTTTTAATTTTTGGTTCTTTCTCAATTTTTTTTTGCAATTATTTTGCAGATGATATATAAAATATACGTTTTCATTGGCCCAAGGACATTGTTTGCTCACATCATTTTAACTCTCAATATTTTCTATAGAAATTTCAGTTTCTGTTTCATAAAATATTGCTAAAGTTATTTTTCTGTTTTTAAAAGTAATATCATAAGAAAATTCACACCTAATATATTTTGAGTCATAGAAATAAATTTAAATTGATCATATCATTAGAGTTTAGTGGATTTTATAACATATTGATATATTTAAGTAATTTTTAATAAATTTAAAAAGTGTCAAAACAATATTTTTTGTGAAATGAAATAGATATTAATAGATTTGATCTAACTGAGTTGTCATTCAATTAGATTTAAAATTATTGCTTAAAAAACTTGATAATTACAAATTGAAGAAAATTGAGTGAAACCTATAACTAATGAATTGAATGATGGTCCATCATCTTATCTAAACCATCATTTTTTTTTTTTTTTCTCTTAAATGTTTATAAAGTGTGTATTCACTTTTTAGTTCATTTTCATGTGTAACAATACCCTTTAACACAAACAAAACAAAACATAAGATCAAATTACTAAGACAAATTCACATATAAGGAAACACTTTTCCAAAGTACAGGCGACAAGTTGAACAAAGGCTCTATATTTAATAGGAAACAAATAACAAATTTTTAAAAGATCAATAAGACAAGTAAATGCCACATCATCAGCTGATTCATGAACCTCTTCCTCCTCTCTCTTTTCTTCCACTATATATACCTCATTCCTCTCTTCATCTCCTCTCATCACTCTCTCTTAACACACACAAAACTGTGAGAGCTAACAAAAAACAAAACAGAGAACCAACAACCAAAAACAAAAATGCCTTCTTTAGAGAACTCTGTTACGATAATCTCAAGAAACAGAGTCTTCCCAGACCAAAAGTCAACTCTCGTTGACCTCAAGCTCTCCGTCTCCGATCTTCCCATGCTCTCTTGCCACTACATCCAGAAAGGTTGTCTCTTCACGCGTCCACACCTTCCTCTCCACGCTCTTCTCTCTCACCTCAAACACTCACTCTCCATAACTCTCTCTCACTTCCCTCCTCTCGCCGGCCGTCTCTCAACCTCCTCCTCCGGCCACGTTTTCCTCACCTGCAATGACGCCGGCGCCGATTTCGTCTTCGCCGAAGCGAAATCAATCCACGTGAGCGACGTGATCGCCGGAATCGACGTTCCCGATGTAGTCAAAGAGTTTTTCACCTACGACAGAGCTGTGAGCTACGAGGGACATAACAGACCAATCCTCGCCGTTCAAGTAACGGAACTAATCGACGGCGTTTTCATCGGATGCTCTGTTAACCACGCCGTGACTGACGGAACCTCGCTGTGGAATTTCATTAACACCTTCGCGGAGGTTTCTAGAGGTGTTAAGAATGTGACACGTCAGCCTGATTTTACGCGGGAGTCTGTGCTAATCTCACCGGCTGTGCTCAAAGTCCCTCAAGGTGGTCCTAAGGTGACGTTTGACGAAAACGCGCCGTTACGTGAACGGATTTTCAGTTTTAGCAGAGAATCGATTCAAGAGCTTAAAGCTGCGGTGAACAAGAAGAAATGGTTGACGGTTGATAACGGCGAAGTAGACGGTGTTGAGTTGTTAGGGAAGCAAAGCAACGATAAACTTAACGGAAAAGAAAACGGTATATTAACGGAAATGTTAGAGAGTTTGTTTGGCAGAAACGACGCCGTTTCGAAACCCGTCGCGGTTGAGATCTCGTCGTTTCAGTCTCTATGTGCGTTGCTTTGGCGTGCGATCACTCGTGCGAGGAAGCTTCCGAGTTCAAAAACGACTACGTTTCGTATGGCGGTGAATTGTCGTCACCGGTTAAGTCCTAAGCTGAATCCGGAGTATTTCGGAAACGCGATTCAGAGCGTCCCGACGTTTGCCACGGCGGGAGAGGTTTTGTCTCGTGATCTTAAATGGTGCGCCGATCAGCTTAACCAGAGTGTTGCGGCTCATCAAGATGGGAGGATTCGTAGCGTTGTGGCGGATTGGGAAGCGAATCCTCGGTGTTTTCCTCTTGGAAATTCTGACGGAGCTTCGGTTACGATGGGAAGCTCGCCGAGATTTCCAATGTATGATAATGATTTCGGGTGGGGAAGACCGGTGGCGGTTAGAAGTGGACGGTCGAATAAGTTTGACGGGAAGATTTCGGCGTTTCCGGGGAGGGAAGGAAATGGGACTGTTGATTTAGAGGTGGTTTTGTCGCCGGAGACTATGGCTGGGATTGAATCTGACAGTGAGTTTATGCGATACGTGACTAAAAAGTAACGGAGTTTATGGATTAATAACGTTAACGGTTTGTCTCTGTTTTGTTTTTTACCTTAAGAACTTAACGATGTATTATTATTGTAATGTGACTTTGTAAGTTGACCCCTAAAAAAATGTTATACATTTTGCTACATGAGACTCTTGCGTTAAAAAGTTTTCGATTTGAGTAGAAGCTATATCATTAGATTGGTCGTCAAATAGCCCTAAGGTGCTATACCAGTCTCGAGGCCAAGATAAACTTCAAGATAACCAACAGTTACGATATTTCCACTGGTGTCCAAGTTCTCAAGTTTGACCTTACGGTACACATTAGCATTTGTTTTCATGGGCAATGGTGTATTTGCCCTCCCACAAAAAAATGCGTCAGTGTCAGCTGCATTTACACTGAACAAGTCCAAATCGAGAAACGATGCAGCCTTGTTTTGAGGAAGATGCAAAACCTCACGGAACTCAGGATCAGCGTTTGTTGACACAATCTTTGTTTGGCGTGGATCATCTTCGTTTGTCCAAGCTACCACCTTGTAGTTGTATTTCTTATCACCACCGTCGCCAATTCCTGATGCTCCAACTACCATTACAAATAAGCCCATCTTGTTGTCTTGATTTTTCTCTACACAAGACATATATAATAATGGTGTTTAGAATTTCAAATATAAAAAATTTGAAACCTTTTTATTATTGATGATGTGATTAGTTTGCTATTTTGAGTAGAACAATTCTTGGGTTCACCCCTAGGGGTGAACCCATTTCATTCACCCCCTCTTTAATAACCAATCAAAATTTGCCATGTCATCTGATTAGAAAAATTAAAACAATTAATATTTTCAAAATAAAATAATTCAATTAAATCATTAAAAACTCACTCTTTTGTAAATCCAAACCGATATATAATCTCGTTTAACTACAAAATCTAAACCCTAATTCTCCTTTGTAAACCCAAACCGCCATTTAAACTTATTTAATCGTAAAAAACTAAACCCTAATCGTACTTTCTAAACCCAAACCGACATTTAACCTCGTTTAATTGTAAAATCTAAATCCGTTTATAAACCCAAACCGATATTTAACCTCGTTTAATCATAAAATCTAAACCCTAATCGTACTTTCTAAACCCAAACTGATATTTAACCTCGTTTAATTGTAAAATCTAAATCCGTTTATAAAACCAAACCGATATTTAACCTCGTTTAATCATAAAATCTAAACCCTGACTTTTTCTAATAAACCCAACCCGATACATAATTTCATTTTAGTGGCAAATTAGATTTTATAATTAAATTAAATTTTTATTATTATTATTAGGTGTCATATTCTGATTGGTTATTAAAGAGGGGGTGAATGAAATGGGTTCACCCCTAGGGGTGAACCCAAGTATTTTTCTTTTGAGTATTAGTTAACCAACACTTTTCATAACATCTATTTATTATAAGATATTTAAGAATTTGAAAATAATTAATTGAAAATCATGATTATATTTATTATTGTTAATTTTCATATCTGGATCAAAATAAATGATGTGAAAGTATGCACTTACACTTGTAAGAAATGAAATGATGTGTAAGCATGCAATTAGATCAAAAACTATTAAATGCTACACACGCCCAACATCCCTATTAAAGATACATATACTCATTTTAATTGTGAGATTAAATTTGTCATGTATTTTGATACTATTCCATCCATTCAAATTTAGTTACTTCTGATGCTGTTTTTACTTTTATCAATTGGTATCTCAAGATTCTCAACAGTCAAGAAATGTTTATCTCTGTTGGATTCTGGCCAAAGAGTTAGAGATGGGCTTTGGGCCTGTACAAAGAGTTTTAGGCCTAACCTGAAAAGTAAGAAAGAAGCTCAATTAAGTTAGTAATAAGCCCATACGATGATGAGAGATTGGGAGCTCTCGAATCCCAACATTCTGCTATAAAAAATCAAAGAAGATACAATTCGAAGCAAATGAATATGTTAACCGACTCATACCATATTGAGCCAAAATTAAAAGGTTAACCAACCACGGAAACAAAATATTTTATGGAATGATATCATCTTTATATGCTAAGCTAAATCAAACAGACCAAACACGCAGTTCAAGAAAAAGAGGCTTATCCAGCCAAATTACGTCGAAGTTTAGGCTTTCCGTAATATCACTCAAGTAATAAGGGTATATAAGTCAATTTACATTCCTCATACACTCCTCGTCAACTTGCGTTGCGTGTCTTTCCTTTCCTTCTTCGAATGAACATCTGAAGCCCGAAAGCAAAAAGAGAATTAAACTCATCATTTTTTGGGGAATGGAGAAGAAGCTCCTCTCCTACAGACGCCATTAACATCATCCTCTAAGCTTCTGCGATTCTCTCCGTTCGTCGGAAGCTTTCACGACGATTTTTCAATCCTTATCCGAACCGGAGGTAATTCTGGATCTCTTCCTCCTTGCGCATTAGAATTAGCGAATTTTTACACATAATTTTTTTTTGTTTGATAGAAATCATGTCGGACGCTTTGATCAATGGATTGGCTGGAGCTGGTGGTGGGATCATTGCTCAGCTTCTCACTTATCCTCTTCAAACTGTACGATTCTTTCTCCACCTAATTCATCTGGATAATCTTCATTCGTTTTTTTTTTAAAAGCGATTGTGTCTGTTTGTTGAATTAGGTAAATACGCGCCAACAGACGGAGCGGGATCTGAAGAGGGAGAAGAGGAAACTTGGCACTATCGAACACATGTGTCAGGTTTTTTGTTTCTCACTATCAATCTCAGGATCATAGATTGAATTATGAGTTTTTGCGATTGTTTATGAGTCTTGATTTGCTAGTTTAGAGAAAACGTATAGTGGAATCTTTTGTTGTGTTACGTTTTTGTGGCATGTTCTTGAATTGCTTTGATTTGTATTGAAGGTTGTCAAACAAGAGGGATGGGAGAGATTATACGGTGGATTGGCACCGTCTCTCGCTGGAACGGCAGCATCACAGGTTTATTCTCTCAATTATGTATAAGTATCTTTGATAATCTGTATTTTTATCTCCATTTTGTGTATATGATTGAAAGTGGATGGTTTTTTTTGGTAAGACCATCTTTATTCTCTAAGAATTTTTTATTTGTGTATGAGACAGGGTGTGTACTACTACTTCTATCAAGTGTTTCGGAATCAAGCTGAAGCCACAGCTCTTGCACGGAAGAAGAAAGGGTTGGGTGACGGATCAGTTGGGATGTTTGCTTCACTTTTAGTGGCTGCCTTTGCTGGGTAAAATATAAATTCTTTATGTGATTATTCTATATGCTAGTTTTTAGTCTGTTACAATGCGGATTAGGGATTACCATTAGTTAGGAATGCTATACAGAATTTCAAAATAGCTCTTAGGTGCTTCAGTTCTTTCTTATAAACTTCACATTGGCTGTCTGGAGTGTAGGCTGTGAGTGAAGGCTCGCCACAGTCACATTGCTAATGCTATCATCTTATGCTCTTATACTGTTGCTTGTTTAATGGAGCTTCTAGGTGGATGGTCTTACTTTTCCTGTCAGGTCCTACTGTCATAGCTGTTTTCTTCTTTGATTGTAAACTTTGGTGGCATGTATTGTTCATTAATGTTTTTTTTTTCTATTGTTTCCGGTGGCTCATGTGAATTTTGATAACACTTTCTCTGTGCAGATCGGTTAATGTTCTTATGACGAATCCAATTTGGGTGATTGTTACGCGCATGCAGGTATAAATGGCTTCATATGCATTACCGTAAAGTGTTTTTTTAGGCTATCTGTATTTTAAATACTTTTTCTTTGGTCCGTGGTAGTTTTAGTTTTGCATTTGAGCATGAATCTATGAGTTTTCTTCTCCTCACTCATATTCCTCCTCCTGGTTTTTTTGAATACTTCTATTCAATGCAGACCCACAGAAAAATGACAAAAGATCAAACTGCTGCCTCCGTGTCACCTTCTTCTGATGCAGAAGCTCTGGTTGCAGTTGAGCCGCGTCCATATGGAACCTTCAATACGGTATGAGGCAGCTTCTCGTATTTACAAACCAGAAGAAGCTGATTGCAGTATAAGACTGAAACTTCTCTATAAACCTCTCAATTAAGACAGTTTCTGTGATATTTGTTGAACAATGTCTCAGATTCAAGAGGTTTACGATGAAGCTGGAGTGACTGGCTTCTGGAAAGGTGTAATTCCAACATTGATCATGGTATGTGAGCTTATGGTTTTGAAGCTTCTCTTATATTGTTTGTCTAGGTGCATTTTTTTTTAAGCTAGATGTGTTTTTTTTTCAAAACCACAGGTAAGTAATCCGTCAATGCAATTTATGTTGTATGAGACAATGTTAACCAAGCTGAAGAAAAAGCGTGCCTTGAAGGGTAGCAACAGCGTAACCGCTTTGGAGGTTTGGACTAGCAATTTGTATTTGTTTCTTTTGCATAAGATTTGTTTGCTCTCCAATGATTTTTCTTTCTATTTTCCATAGACATTTCTTCTTGGAGCTGTGGCTAAACTCGGAGCTACAGTCACAACTTATCCTCTCTTGGTTGTAAAGTCGCGACTTCAAGCGAAACAGGTCACAACAGGGGACAAAAGACAACAGTACAAAGGTTTCTCCCTCTTGTAATAATAAGATCATGAAAATGGCCAAAAGAACTCATTTCTCAGTTAAAGCTAAGAGTTGTTGTGTTGATTTTGAATTTACAGGAACATTGGACGCGATTCTGAAAATGATTCGATATGAAGGGCTTTACGGGTTTTACAAAGGGATGAGCACAAAGATTGTGCAGAGCGTTTTAGCAGCTGCGGTTCTGTTCATGATCAAGGAAGAGCTTGTCAAGGGAGCTAAGCTGTTGCTTTCAAATGCAACCTCTAGCTAAGTCAAGTCCAAGCCTTCTTGAAACTAGCAATCTAGAAATAAGATTGAAATAAATAAAAATAGATTAAATTTCCAATAGTTTTCTTGATTTATTATCACAGTATTGGGATTGTCGTTCATTTCCTGATGATTGAAATTGATTATTGTATTTTCTTAAAGATTCTTAGTATGAAATCTCAATAAAGTTTGGCAGATTTATCTTGTGTTCTTCAATAGAAAGAAATCTTCAGCATTTAAGTTTAAATTAGTCAAATCAGGGTTTAATTAGTTGACAAAAAAGGTTTAGATGTCATTAGTTGACTTGACTATATTAAGCCCAGGAAGGCCCATTATATCTCATCCATCAAAACGACGTCGTAAATAGACAAGTTTTGACTGAAACGTCTTCTAGCTCCATCCAATATATGACTCGGACTCATCATATACATATCGTCTTCTTCCTTCTCCTCGAACCAAAAACATCAGTCTCTCTTAGTATCTGCGCTCGTGAAAATCTCACACTCTGCGTTCGAATTTTCGAAGAACATTAGAGATCTGGTATTATCTGGATCCGATCTGTCAACCATGGAAGAGAAGAAGATAGAATCAAGCAACAAGAATGTTAAGAAGGCCAATCTATTGGACCACCACTCGATCAAGCACATCCTCGACGAATCCGTCTCCGATGTAAGAATTGTCGAAGATTTTACTTTTGGTTTTCTCCATATTTCTCTGATCTGTGAATTTATGAATCTTCGTTTTTGATGCGTAGATCGTTACGAGCCGTGGCTATAAGGAGGATGTGAGGTTGAGCAACCTCAAATTGATTTTAGGAACGATTATCATCGTCGTTGCTCTTGTTGCTCAGTTCTACAACAAGAAATTCCCTGAGAACCGGGATTTTTTGATTGGATGCATCGCATTATATCCTTTTTTCCTCGAATTTGGTTTTAGATAACTTGTAATGTGGCTCGAATTATTTGTGCTTAGCATTAGATTTTGGAAAACATCATTGGTATCTAAAGTATGACTATAGAAGCTGCTCGATACAGGTCTTGTATTTGGATAATTTTGAATAAGATGTTTGGTCCTTGACTATGACACGTATGTAGTGTTGAATGCGGTGTTGCAGCTGATTCTGTACACTAAGGAGAAGAATGCTATTCTGTTCACCTATCCTCCTGAGGTTTGTTCTCTGACTGTATAGAAAAGATGTTTCATTTATAAGTTTCGTGGGTTGGGCTACATTCTTGTTTTGTCTATGATGCAACAATTGTAGTTCTGATTTAGGTTCATAATGTACATATTTCCTTGTTCACTTACGTTTTAACTGGAGCTATAATTTGAATTCTGGAGTCAAAACTTTTGCATTCCTTCTGTTTTGTGAATTAGAATTGTGTTTCTGCTAGCCTGACATGTTATGTAAAGTTTGCATATCTTAAGACATCTTGTTTGTTTTTTGCATTTGAGCGGTAAAGTTTGCATATCTTAATGCATCTTGTTTGTTTTTTTGCATTTGAGCTCTAGGAAGAACTACATTTCCCTTTCAATGTATTGTTCAACTAGTTAACGTCTTGAAGCTTATATTTTGAAAAATATTTGAACAATAGTTTTTGGTGTTTGCAATCGGTGCTCTCTTGTTTCTCGAAACATACTTGTTCAACTAAGTGAATGATTCTGGAATGTAAATTAGGTGGTTTATTTCTCAGTCTCACCAGCTTGAAGAAATTACTCCTCACATTTAGTTAGCATCCGAGAGGATGAGCTATTTTTTAAACATGTCATTCTGTACTCATTTGGTTAGGTCTAGAATATGCAACAAAAAGAGCTTCAACATTTTGTCTTTGTGAAACCATCTTAAATTGATACAATAACTTGGTTAGTGGGGTTGCTTCATTTGTTATGTCAAAACAGATAAGGATCCTAAAGCTCTCTGATTATATATACATATATGCACACTTTCATGTGTTTTGCTACTGTTCGAACATTTTTTGTTTAGCTCATCATTTGCTTCTCCTCTTTCGAAAAAACTTAAAATCCAGTGGTTTATACGCAGGGATCATTCACCAGCACTGGCTTGGTGGTATCTTCAAAGTTGCCCAGATTCTCTGATCAGTACACTCTCACCATCGACAGTGCTGATCCAAAATCAATCTCAGCTGGGAAGTCAGTTGAGTTGACCAAAAGTGTCACCCAATGGTCTCTCTCTCGGCACTTTTCTTACAGTTGCTCACCCTGCGTATCATAGACATGAGCCTCATTACATGGTTTTTGTGTGTGTTTCAGGTTCACGAAAGAGGGAGTTCTTGTTGAGGGTTTATTCTGGAAAGACGTGGAAGCACTAATCAAGAACTATGCAGAAGAAGAACCAAAGAAGAAGAAATGATCATCTTTCGGAGCAATATATGTTCTTAAAACTCCCAATGTTGCGTATTAGAAAACTAAATCGACGGTGACTTTGTTTAGAGATGAAACTAATACTGGGGTTTTTCCTTATAGCCAGATTTTCGAATTAATCTGAGATTTTATGATCACCATTTAGACAATAATAAAAAGCTTTATCTCAGTAAGTATGCCAATGGCTCAAGACCATGTATATGCTTTTGTCGTTTAGTTATTTTTACTTGATCATACATAAAAAACAAGTCAAATGCTACACGAATTGTGGATGATTTGATTTGTAATATTTGTATGATTGATGATAAAACACCAAACATAAGATATGAGTGGCTTGGATGACTCTAGGCTCTTTTTAGGCAGCTTTTCTTTCTCGTATGGCTTGGGAAAGTTCATTTGTTGTTGATTGTTATTGGTTGGAGTAACCTTTTCTAGTACTTTTCGATTAGAAAAATTCCCATTTCCAATATAAATATTTCCCATAGCTCAACAAGAGATGGGTCTCTACGATTTTGCAAAAATATTGAATAACTTTCTCGATGTAAGATATGACAATCCAAATAATGTAGAATGTTTAAAAAAAAATAAAAAAAAATACCATAAATTGTTTTCCTGCTTCTCATAGTTCTGAATTCTAATCATAATTAAAAATGTACAATAAAGTAAAACTCTAACAATATGGAAGCTATTAAACCAATTTTCATAAAAAAACAAAAACCTCTCCTATAATCCATACATTTTTTATCCATCCATTGGCCACAAAATACAACCTGTCCATCGTCGAAGATCAATTTCAACTAAAATTTTGTAAGTAAGGAAGAAAGAAAAATATAGGTTTTGTAATTAAAAAACACAGGCCCATCCTTAGCTAGGGCCCATTAAAAGATGACGTGGCACCAGCTCGAAGTCAGGTTTAGCAAGGGACCCATCCCTAATTTCGTAGGACCCACTCATCAGTCATCACCCTCCTCTATCAAACGATCCCCGGATCTCAAATGTTTCGAATAAAACTAAAATGAATAAAATCGTATCGAATCCGCCAGAACATCTAACATATATAAACATAGACGCTGTGCTGTTTTGGTTTTCTTATCTTTCCGCGAAGTGGAATCTCCTCTCCAAAAAAAGGCACTTGTTTCAATTCTTTCGCTAAATTAAAAGATATTTATTCTCTCTCTCTAGAATCAACATTAAAAAAAAAAAATCACCGTCTCTCTCTCTTAAAAAAAAATTATAACAAACCCTACCTCTCTCGAATTGGATTTGATTCTTTGAAAGCATTTATCAATCTCTAGGTTTTTGATTTTGAAACTTGACGAACTCTTTTTTTTTTGCAATTTCTGGATCCGAGTTTTGGTTTCTCTGACAAGTTACCGATCCGATATTTGATATGGCCGATTCTAGGAAACGAGATTCCGGAGACGATCACCGTGATGATCAGCCAAATGAGGATGTATCAAATTCGTCGTCGACGATTGATGATTCTCGATTTAGTGGATCCGAAGGAGAGAATGAATCGACGAGGATCGAGAGTAGAGTTTCAGATCCGTTGACTGATACAACCGGAGGAGACTTTTTGGTTGGTGAGGATAGGGTTTTGAGGTGGTTGCAAGCTTTAGATATGCAAGTTATGGGAGCTTGTCGAGGTGACGAGAGATTGAAGCCGTTGTTGAAGCTTAACGTTTCTAATGGAATGGCTGAAGATCGATTGCTTGCTCATCTTAGTCAGGTTTGAATGAATTGATTAATTAATCTCCAGTTTCTGATACGATTATATTTGGATGAGATAATCTGATTTCTTGTTTATTGAATAGCACTTCGAGCCGGCGGAAATTGGTATGCTGGCTAGATGTTTTTGCATACCTCTGGTTTCGGTTCGCGTCGGGAAGATTAAGAAGGAAGGAACTCTAATGCGCCCCACTCCCATAAGGTAATCAACGAGACACCAATGTTTCATGAGTCCTGTCTTTGTTACAATCATGTTAGTTCTTTGTTGTCTTAGAGATATGTGAACATGATGGTATGTTACTTATAGCTCTCTAGTTAGGTTTTGTTGGCTTTGAAGACGGATCTTGTGTGCAATCTGTCATTGATTAGGCCACTTTATGAAAGAATGCTCACTTGCAGGCTGATTATCTGAATCGGTAGTGATTTTGAAATCATCTGATGATACAAAGTAATTACGTTTCTGGTACAGTTCCGTGCTTTAGTGTTATTGATACTCTCTCGCTGAGTTTCTCCATGTTTGGTCTCATAATATTAAGTACGTTTATCAAATACTATGCCTGTTTTCATATGAATTGTTGCATCTCTGTTTTACTGACCTTTTGCAGTTCTATATGTGCTAACACTTTGGAGGTTAGTGTGTTACATTGTCTTAGTCCATATGGTTAGTTATGTTTGTATCAATGTATATCTAGCTTTCAGTAATAAGGTCTATTCATGACTTGCTTTGGTTTAATTAAACTTTTAGAAATCATAGGAACTTAATCAGTCGTATAGTGATACTGTTCATGCTTCCAAATAAAATGTATCTTTTATTGTAGGTAATGTGGGCGTAATCTGTTATGATCTCTGGTAGATGATGAAGTAAAGGTAGTTTCATCTCCAATGTTGTGTAGCATGTTCTTGATTTCTAGTCATATAGGGCTTTAATATTCTCTCTGTTTGCTATAACATCATTGACTATATGCCCTTCTTAACCACTTTATAGTATCTCTCTGTGGCTTTGATTGAATCGCTATGTTTTTTTATCATTTAAGCTTTTTGTTTGATTTTGATCTATGTAAAGATCGTTTCGGGAAGTCTTAGATAATCATGTTCTCATCTTTTCTTAGGTTCAAGTTCTTCTAAGTTTCTTGCTGGAGTAAACATTTTTTCTTTGTGATTGAGGTCCCTATGCAGAGTTATGAATAATGTATTTTCAGTTAGGCTAAGCTACAGTCTTAAAAAGTGTCAAGTACCAAATTATTGTACATAATGTTTATTCGGGCGGTACTCTATGTTTTGTGAATAACAATAATAGGCCAATAGCACAGCTGTTTTGTAAACAGTTTTGCATGTTTATGCTGGTAGATTCTTTTCTTGTTGTTTTAATTAGGGGCAACTTGCAAGCATTTAAAAAGCTCTTGGACTGAATCCAACTTAATTGTCTGGTTTTCAGCATCTAGCGTTTATTTGTTAGTGCGTTTGATATTGATATAAGAGATTTTTCTGACTGATTTCCTGACGTTTTATCTCCCATTGGTCAGGGGTAACTTGAGCCTTATGGTCTTGCCAACATCTGACTTGAGACTCTCATTTATCGGAGACAATGGTCATTCAGAACAACTTTTTACGTATACCAGCAAATCTCAGTGCTCTGCGGTGTCAATTGAGGAGATAACTGCGGACAGCTCTGGTAGATCTTTTGTTATAAGGATCGCAGATGGCAATGCTTTTTACTATTGGTGCTCAGAGAAGTCAAAACTTCTGGGAACTGAATTGCGTAGGAAGGTTTGTGTAATAGAGATGATTGTCTTGTTTTAAAATCCTTGTCTATGCATCTAAATTTTCTCATTATCTGTTGTTTTTCTATGTAGATGAAAGACTTGATCAAGAAGAAGCCATCAATCTCGGAACTAACTGGAATTGAAGAATCACGACTTGGCTCTGTTGCTTCTCATCTCCGTTTGTATCTTATGGGTTCAGTGGTACCTAACATCAAAGGTGTTCCGGTCTCATCTCCTGATTCATCATCATCTTCTGGCTCTTCTGAAACAGCTGATTCCTCCTCCTCGAGTGCATCATCGAAATCTCTTAGAGCACGCCACGGTGGGACTCAACTGACAAAGACCCAAGGAAGCCTCAGCCCTAGAGCAAGCTCCTTCAAAGAAAACACACTGAGAAACTCTTCTCTACGTATCTCCTCTAGAGATAAATCAAAGCGACGCAGTGAAGCCCATTTCTCAATCTTTGATAATTTATCAGTTACCTCTATCCCCACCAAAGTAGAGGGTTTTATCCAGTCAGAAGGAGAAGGTGAAGAAGTTACTGAGAATAATAATGGAATCAGTCAAATTATTGCTTTCGAAGAAGCTGAGTCAACACCAAGTACAATGACCGGACCTCCCCCATTTCCTTTGAAGATGGGTCCACCCGTCTTTTCTCCTTATTATTGCTGGTGCCCTCCAACCACCTCATCGCTTCACGCACCATCTGCTTCTTATCAGTTCCCTCCACTATCCATCGAGCTACCTTCCCTTCCGCCTCTTTCTTCCTTGTTACCAGCATCAGGATCGGATGGGTTCTTGATCCCGTCATCACCGCTCGATCTCTCTGACATCCCTCCATTACCATTAGTCCACCACATACCCATTCCAGGCTCATCATCATCATCATCCCAGCAACAGATGATGATTCCTATAATGTGCGACCCTATTGTTCATATTCCAGTTATCGATATCTACTCTTCGGGTCAAGGCTATCTGGTTAGCACTGGACCCACCGGGATGATATCCACGGGCATTCCTCCGCTCCCAGTGGAGAATGATTCGCTGGTCGAGAAAGGTGCAAGAGAAACACTACGATTGCTCATAAGCGGAGCCAATGCAACAACCTCTACACCTTTGAACCACCATGGAAGCAGAGGTCTATACAGTGGGAGCCGGGACGTGAGTGGTATGAGCTTGTTTGGACCTATTGGGCTGCAACAACCGAGTTCAGTTGACGGAGGAGATGGTGGTGGTGAGAGTGTGAGCTCAGGCGAAGCAGTGCCTGCGCCTCCCAGAGAGACTTCTGGTTAGTTTTTTTGGTTCTTTGTAAGTGTGGTTCCGAAAAAAAGTGTATAGAAAGTGGGGGTCGTTGAAACTCATCTCTCGCTTAGTTCTTGGTTTTGTTCATCAAGTCTTTCGGTTCAGGTGTAATTAGTCGGGTTTTTTTTGTAGCTTGCTTATTATTACCTTTTGTTATTTCCGAGTTTCAAAGGAAGCTAAGAAATACGATCATAATAAAAGTTAGTATTTTGCAGTATTAATTCTCCATGGTTCCCTATTTCATAATCATTGTTGTTCTTTCTAATACTTTTCCTAAGCTTTTTTTTATTGGAAAAACTTTTGTCACAGAAAGAAATTCAGTGTGATTGATTCTATTGTACATTATTGAAGTTGAAATCTCGCAACTGTAATAAGCACTCAAAGTTAACAGTTTGCTGCTTTACCTGAAAAAAAGGGTCGCGTAAATGGTCTTGTTCCAAAAGTGCCATTTTGAGCGCTTTCTTTCGACATTTGATGTGGAACTTCTACCAAATTAAAATCATACATCATTAATTTAGATTTTTGTTATAATTAAAATCATATGGTCCATATATATACAGTAGTTAACCATATTATGGACCATATAAACTTCATATCGTCAACTACTTTTTTTTCTCATTAAAAGCTTCTAATACTGTAGAAAAATTTAATTTATCGCACAAAAGAGAGTAGAATTATTCTATTTTATTGTATCACATATAGAGCAACCAAGATAACATATATTTATATTTTTAAATTTTTTTTTGCTTAGGATTCAGGTTATTATTACTCAATAAATAAACAATTAATTAGTCCATCGAATAAATAAATCAGACACCTTATTGGATAGGTTAATATTCTAATAATATTGTCGTGTAGCTAAAGATCTGACCACTGCAAAAATATTAAAAACATAAGTAGAGAGAAGATCGCATCTCCACCGTCGACTTCACTGTGGTCTCATCATCGTCCCACTTGGAATATATTAACCAAACGATTTTATAAAAAAAAACAAAAAATTGATTCCATCTCCCACTTTCTTCTTCTTCTTCTTCCTCCTCCCAATCCGCCTCTTCTTCCTACGCGTGTCTCCTTCTCCCTCACTCTCAATCTCTTTGCTTCTCCGATTCACCGGATCTTTGCTTCATTCCTTCTCTCTTCTTCTTCTCACTGTGGTGGTTATGTGTGGATCTGCTTCCTCGATTTCAATTCGAAGTCGTCGGTTTCTTCAGTAAATCGAATCTTTTTTTTTCCGGTTTTTTTCTTCGATCCGATGGAGGATCCTGATATCAAGAAGTGTAGATTGAGCTGCGTCGCGACGGTTGATGACGTCATCGAGCAAGTCATGACGTATATAACCGACCCGAAAGATCGCGATTCGGCGTCTTTGGTGTGTCGGAGATGGTTCAAGATTGATTCCGAGACGAGAGAGCATGTGACTATGGCGCTTTGCTACACTGCGACGCCTGATCGTCTTAGCCGTCGATTTCCGAACTTGAGGTCGCTTAAGCTTAAAGGCAAGCCTAGAGCAGCTATGTTTAATCTCATCCCGGAGAACTGGGGAGGATATGTTACTCCTTGGGTTACTGAGATTTCTAAATCGCTTAAGCAGCTCAAATCGGTTCACTTCCGACGGATGATTGTCAGTGACTTAGATCTGGATCGTTTAGCTAAAGCCAGATCAGATGATCTTGAGGCTTTAAAGCTCGATAAGTGCTCTGGTTTCACTACTGATGGACTTTTGAGCATCGTTACACACTGCAGGTACACTTACTTATTCTCACTATCTTGTAGCTATCAAGAATGAGTTTGCTACTTTGAATCGATGCTTTTGAGGTTTAGCACATACTTTTGCCACTCTCTTATCATTTCCTACTTTGATTAGAACTGTAGAACAAGATTTCACTTGGCTCTTTTTTAACCATATCTTGAAGTCTGTGTTTGTAAAGATGTGATCTTCTTTAGCTCAATTGGGTAACTAGTAACTTCTTCTCTTTAATGATATTGTTGAACCTTACTTTATTTGATTTCTTAACACCAAGAGTTATATAAGCAGAAACATTCATTTCAGTATCTAGGAGTTTATGTTTATTTTATTTTATGCTTGCTATTAAAGCAGTAATTGCAACGATCTACAGTTATCTTTCAATTGGGGAAGTATAAATCTTGGTGTGAATTGTTGAACCTTAACTTTATTTTGTTTCATACTATAGTTTGCACTTCTATTATGCATAAGTAGCAAAAAGATTGATTTTGGACTTCTTCAGTCTCTCGGAGTTCATGTGTATTATCTGGTTTTTGAATCCTTGATTCGGCTGCTGCTGTTCTGCATATTCAATTTTAGCTGAAAATCCAAATATGTTGAGTTGGTTATTCCTGTTTCTGTCTGTTGTCTTCTCCAGGAAAATAAAAACGTTGTTAATGGAAGAGAGTTCTTTTATTGAAAAGGATGGTAAGTGGCTTCATGAGCTTGCTCAGCACAACACATCTCTTGAGGTGTTAAACTTCTACATGACGGAGTTTGCCAAAATCAGCCCCAAAGACTTGGAAACCATAGCTAGAAATTGCCGCTCTCTGGTTTCTGTGAAGGTCGGTGACTTTGAGATTTTGGAACTAGTTGGGTTCTTTAAGGCCGCAGCTAATCTTGAAGAATTTTGTGGTGGCTCCCTGAATGAGGATATTGGAATGCCTGAGAAGTACATGAATCTGGTTTTCCCCCGAAAGCTATCCCGTCTAGGCCTCTCTTATATGGGACCTAATGAAATGCCAATACTATTTCCATTCGCGGCCCAGATCCGAAAGCTGGATTTGCTTTATGCATTGCTAGAAACTGAAGACCATTGTACGCTAATCCAAAAGTGTCCTAATTTGGAAGTTCTCGAGGTAAATGTTTAACTTTGCTGTCTTTTCTTTTTAACTACATATTTGGGACTGCGTTGTTAGTGTTAATTGGTGCTCCTATTTGTTCACGAAATATTTCTAAGCGATTAATATAGTCTTTTGATCGAATCTACACTTTTCAACTATCATAAAATCTAGCGTTGGATTGGTCCTCCAGTGTATAAAATGTGGGAGATAAGGGATAGGAATGCAATATTGGTTCTCTTTAGTCTTTACATACATATGAGACTGACAATTCTTGTTGTTTTTCTTCAGACAAGGAATGTAATTGGAGATAGGGGTCTAGAGGTTCTTGCACAGTACTGTAAGCAGTTGAAGCGGCTGAGGATTGAACGGGGTGCAGATGAACAAGGAATGGAGGACGAAGAAGGCTTAGTCTCACAAAGAGGATTAATCGCTTTGGCTCAGGGCTGCCAGCAGCTAGAATACATGGCGGTGTATGTCTCAGACATTACTAACGAATCTCTTGAAAGCATAGGCACATATCTGAAAAACCTCTGTGACTTCCGCCTTGTCTTACTCGACCGGGAAGAAAGGATTACAGATTTACCATTGGACAACGGAGTGCGATCCCTCTTGATTGGATGCAAGAAACTCAGACGGTTTGCTTTCTATCTCAGACAAGGCGGCTTAACCGACTTGGGCTTAAGCTACATCGGACAATACAGTCCAAATGTGAGATGGATGCTGCTGGGTTACGTAGGTGAATCGGATGAAGGTTTAATGGAATTCTCGAGAGGTTGTCCGAATCTACAGAAGCTAGAGATGAGAGGCTGTTGCTTCAGCGAGCGAGCAATCGCTGCAGCAGTTACAAAATTGCCTTCACTGAGATATTTGTGGGTACAAGGTTACAGAGCATCAACGACGGGACAAGATCTAATGCAGATGGCTAGACCGTACTGGAACATCGAGCTGATACCATCGAGAAAAGTACCGGAAGTGAATCAGCTAGGAGAGATAAGAGAGATGGAGCATCCGGCTCATATATTGGCTTACTACTCTCTGGCTGGTCAGAGAACAGATTGTCCAACAACTGTTAGAGTCCTGAGGGAGCCAATATGATTTGACCAAGAAACAGGTTTGTATATAAAGATTTGGTTAATCTTTTCTAGTGTCGAGTTTTGGGGTTTCCACGAACTGTCTACTTTTGGTTCTTTATTTTTGATTCATGTTGTATCGTCAGATGTTTTTGGGAGATTACATAGAGTCTTGTTTGTATGGTCATCACTTTATTTTTCCACAGGGGTCTGTCTACTCTTCTTTCTTTAATAAAACCCCAAAGATTTTGAGAGATTTCTTTATCGTCCATGGTTTTGATTGGCATCTGTAACTTTATTTGTGGTTGTGATTGTTTTGATAACATTAGTAAAAAGGCAAATAATAAAGCAGTACTCATTATTAACTTTATAGATGTAAACTTTGATTTCTATGTTCTTACACGAATTTCGAAAACGATGTAACATAGCTTTGATTAAATTAAGTAATTAACAGACAATAAAGGAATCTATCAACAATGAGTGGGCATATCTGAAACCGACCAAAGGTACCCCATTCAGATTCTTCTAACCATAAAAGAACCTTTAATATAATACATTATTTAGGGTAACGAAATAATTGTCTGTATATGCATCTCATTCACATTTGAGAAGATTCCCCCATATTTTGTGATTTTGTCTAATGCACTTTTGGAGGAATCACGCAAACTCAGGGGTCTTCAATTGGTGAAAGAAGGAGAATGATGGATGAGTAACTGAGCATTGGGTACATATTTGCATCTAAGAAGTGCCTATACTGCTTCATCGCCGTTTCTCTCTCTGGGAGATCAGGTGTTATGCAGTCGTATGGGCTCGGTTTGCTCGTGTCTACAAATGGCTCCCATCGGTATCCAGGCCTGTTAGGCAGACAAACAAGTGTGGCTAAATGACTAGTGTTGAAAGCCACATAGATTTCTCTCTTTACAGAATCGACCTGCATACCAACAAAAGAGATTAATATTATCTACAAAGGAAGCTGTCCATGTAAGAGTTGAAGCTCTTGCTTAATACCACGACGTAAGTGACTAAGAGAGATAAGGTATGAGAAACTGGTACCAGTGAAAATGCAACAAATCGACTTGTTTCAGACCAATTTGGGATCTCAGGAGCAAGACCATGCCACTGCAGACGCTTTGCTGTTGGGAAATCATTCAGGCCAAGTGATTCACATTCACTACAAGACAGTAACAATCGCCATCAACCAAAGAAAACCCGAGAAACAAAGGATGGCAAAAGAAATAATACGCATAGCAGAAGGTGAAAAGGAATAAGTATGTCAATTATTGGATTTGAAACTATGTGAAGTGGTCAACTAAGATATTAAAAGCGAAAGACTAATAAAAAAGATTACATACTCACGAAACTTGATAAGAAGACGGCAGAATCTGAAGAAGTCAGAATGTGCTTCTTCATTTTTGTCCCACCGAAAATAGTTCATCTGCATCAGAATTGTGTTAACATCAGAAAGCTAAGATCGAAAAATAACTTAAAATCACCCTAGAAGCAAAGCATAAAGAGTTTACATAGTTGTCATGGCAGTAGGTGTTGTTGTTTCCCCCTTTCGTATGGCCATATTCATCTCCCATGTAGATCATTGGGACACCCTGGTGATAAATAGTTCAGAAAGACCGGAAAAAAAAGGTTAAGCAATACACTACTTTCAAAACAAAAAAAACGGAAGCAACACAATCTGACAAAGCAGTACCCTTAATTCAAATTTCTTTGCATAACACTATACCAGTCACAACTTAACATGTTGCAAATGCAAACAATCAGTGCATAGTACTTAATTGATAGTGGATTTAGATTCTCTTGTGGCTTATTAATTAATGTTTTGAACTCATGACCTCTACTTCAGCATCATAGTTCCATGTGCATAACATCAGTGAAACGAGCTTTGAGCAGGAATCAAAATAAAAGAAGCAACAAATGGTTAGCTTTACTTGGGAAACCATGAGGGAAACAAAGAAATTTCGCATCTGTCGTTTCCTTAGTCTCTTCACCGAGATACTCGCAAAGTCTCCCTCCTGCAGCCCAATACCAATCAAATGCAGCCTTTTTAGTTTAGGTAAAAGTGTATTGGCCATTTAATTTCAGCTTATAAACATTCTCAAAGGTCGTATGATATAATATGTAACTGAATTTACATAGAAGATAATCCAATCAAATATTGTGAAGTTTTGATCTTTGATTTTGAACTTCCAACTACATTCTTAGCGTTCAATATTATGAGCAATGAGAGAATGTTTATATTTACTATCAATTAATAAGAAACCTACGAAGAACTTGCTTTTATGCAGTTGTAAATCTTGCATTTCTTTCAAAGGTTTCTCAATTTTCTGCATTGCTCACTTTGGTTAAAAGCGAGTGCACCAAAACTACTAATTTCAATCCACTCTATGAATTTTTCAAAGAACCTGAAGCTATTTCTACAGAAATTATCTTTAGTAAATTCTAACATATAACTTAGCCATCATAGTAATTAATTTGTGAAACAGAGCAAAAAAGTTCTACACACTTGCACAAAATAAATATCTTACCTCTCCACAGTTCCAGCTGTAATTGTGATTCTCTCCATCATTATTCTCTTCTCCATTTGCCAAGTTATTCTTATTGTTGTAAGTTACTAGATCTGCCAACGTAAATCCATCATGCGCACATATAAAATTGATGCTGTTCCAAGGTTTCCTACCTCCCTGATCACAGACACAATCAGATATCAATAAGATATACAACCACAATATGAAGCTTCACAGACAAAACAACCAAGAGACAACCATAAAGATTATTTATGTATGCAGATACCCCAGTATAATAGAAGTTAGAATTACCTGGTACAAATTTGGGCTTCCACAGAGACATTCAGCAAAAGCACCAGAAAAGCCATCGGTGCCTTTTATGAACTGTCTCACAACATCCCGGAACTGAAACGGACAAAAATATTACAATTCCATATTAAATTCACAACGACGATAGATATCATACAAACACTCTTGGATGTTCATTGCTAATACATGCTACTATACATTTATGTTAGCTAGTACAGGCAGATCACATAGGCTGTCCCGTTTTCAATTGATTAGAGCAGATTCTAAGGGTCAGGTGGTCAGCAGAAAGATGAATAACCACTAATAATGACATCATATTTGGCATGAAACCCTTATACACTGTGACACCTATTCTTCCATATCTCTTGCTACGACTGAAGGCACAGGTTTCATGCAACGAATGTCTCAAACAATTAAAATAAAAGCACTTTATCCTTGTAATACAATTACTGACCTTTCCATTCCACTCAGACCAAATACCCCAGTGTGGAAACATGCCAACTTGGTATAGCCCACCCGCATCCCAGGCTTCAGCTATTAGCTGTTTGCAAAGAAGCAACATAATGAATAAATATGTAAAAGATCCTACATTGATGAAGGTATTTACATCAAGAAAATGATTACTTTATAACAATCATCTATACAACTGGAGATTATGAAATAAATTGAAAAAAAATCACAATGGACGCTCAATGCTTAAGTACAACAAGAAGAAATAAAACAAGTAGTATGCTAATTAATCTTTTGGTGAAGATCACTAATTACATTGGAAGATTTTAAAGTTTGGTATTGGATTGAGATAAGATAGTAGTCATGTAGTCAATAAGGGAGAAATATCAAAGAAACCGTCGACATGCATCTCTCCACTCTAAACAAGGAAAACGGACACTATCTAATGGGGAAATATCAAGGGAACTAGTTGATCACCTTAACACCGCGGAGTATTGGATCATTACTTATCATGTCAATTACTGGAGGGCAGCTAATAGGAGTACCGGTTGTCAGCAAGTCACCTTCTACATCAGCCCCATAAACATTGGCTGCATCCCAAAGGCTAACAAGAATAGAACAATAAATATTCCAGAAACACATGGATCACACAACCACTCATTTGACGTACTCTAGAACATTTGCACCTGCTGCTCCTTGACATGATTGAACCAAGATCAAAGCGGAAGCCGTCGACATGCATTTCTGTAACCCAATATCTGTTTAAAGAGAGAGAGAGAGGTATCCATATGCTTAGGAAGAGTTAACTGAGGAGAATATCATGAAATACATATATTTATGGGAACTACCTCAGGCAATCCACTATGAATTGACGCACCACAGGATGATTGCAGTTGAATGTATTACCACAGCCTGAATAATTATAGAACTCGCCCTGTTAAATTTAAAAACATGCATAAACTTTAGATTGATTTATGGGTGTTGAATTCAATATCATCAGTATGAGACTACAAACTAGAAAACCAAAAGCATTATGGGTGTTGAATTCAGTATCATCATTGGGTGGAATATGTACACTTTGCTAGTCTTAGCGAAGTTATGTAAAGGTCATGCAGAAAACACAAAAGAAGGTTCCTGCAGGTTCCTGACACATTATAAGTTACTGGACCGACCAAATACCAGAATCAGCAAAGTGACTTAGTTTATTGAGTGTACTTAATGTCTTAATTGGCAGAATAAAAAAGAGTCGTCTATTTCAGATTCATACCCCACCGATCTTTTGATTCTCTCTTGTTCCCTAAGCAACGAAACTCTTGAAAAGAAACACATGACTGCTTGATGATCATTACCTTTGGAGCAAGCATGTAATAGACACTGTTATCAACTCCTCTAAATGAGAAAATGGGTCCTTTTTCATTCCCTTCAGCTGTGTGGTTCAAGACGACATCCATGATGACCTGCTTAAAATCTATCAAGAACTGCATCCGTAAACCTAATAACAAATATTTAGCTACTAGGAAACTAGTTGTCACCTCAATTCCTCGTTTATGTGCTTCTTTAACAAGAATTTTGAACTCATTTATGGCTCTTCCAGCAAAATTGTTAGAGCTTGCCGATGCGTATCTGATCATGGGCGAGAAGAACCCAATGGTAGAGTAACCCCAAAAATTTACCCTGAAAAAAGCAAGACAGCCAGATTAGACATGCTATATGCAACATTTAATTCAGTTTGTGAAACTTATAAAATGGTATGGTTTCATGTGAGAGAGCTTTCTCAATCTATCTATTCCAGATGTGATATTATCTGTAAGCTGTTTCACCCCTCATTGCTCGGAAGATTTCTGAGGCAACAACAATCCTAGTTGGAAAATTTCTTGAGATTAATTGATACATGCTAGCACTTGCAGATGTTAACTACAAGTGGTTCTACTATTTAGTTTGCTCATCCCAGAAGTCACTCATTAAAAACTGACAAAGCAAAATCTATCAGCCGGAAGTTGTATAGTCATTTCAAAGGCATCTGGTCCAATGGCATACCTGTGATCTCCCAGAATCGTATTGTAGCTGTAATACTCTAGCTCATTAAACTCGTGACATGGCATTAATTCTATGCAATTTATCCCAAGTTCCTGTCAATATGTAACAAATGTTACTTTCAATTAGATAAGGGCTCTAGCAAATCACACACTATTAAAAGGAAAAAAAAAACTATAAAATTTTCTTCTCATTTTTAACAAAAAAATGGATATATTTGCATGGCCTAGATCACCAAAACTCGTCTGAATTAAACAAGACAGAGCTTTTCAAAATGAGGACAACTTATAGCCACTCCACACAGAGATAATCATATGAAGCATTCATCCGATTTTGATTATTTTTTGTCTTTTTAAAATCGTGATGACTTTGTGTTAACATTATGTACGGCATACCACAATGGAAGTTGACATACTGGGATATTATTTTCCCACAATGATCAGAAAGGAAGAATTCAGTGTTGAACAAATGAATATGCTAACAAAATTTCTACTGATATAGTCAGCAACATCTCAAAATTTCACCTAGAGACTATTTAGTAATCTTGTTCCAAAATAACAGTTCAAAGTTTTCTCAGCTGTATATATTTGAGAGCCAGTACCTTCAAATGGTCAAGCTTCTCTGCAACACCCTGATATGTGCCAGGGAATTCAATTTTGCTAGATTCATGCCTTGTGAAACCTCGTACATGCATTTCATATATAACAAGATCCTTCTGTGGAAGCTTCAGATGCATATCCCCTTCCCAATCAAACTGAAGAGTGACAAAGGTCAACAAAATCACTCGTTAAAGAATATCAACTAAAACATCCAAAAGTGTCCAATATCCATTATAACAGCCTTATGAATATCATTGGTACCTCTTCATCACGAGTGGGAACCATAGACGCCATTTGAGGCCAACAATTTTCATCAGGTCCCAAAACTCCAAACTCATCTCTGCTTATAATTGCCTACCAAACCAAAGGGACAAAGTTATAGCTAAGCCAAGAGATTATCTACGAGACTGTAGTTCAGCTGCTCTATACTCAGAAAAAGAACTTCAATTTTCAATTACCTTTGCGTAAGGATCCAATAAAATGTTGGAGGAATCATAATAATGACCTTCTTCAGGAGAAAACTTTCCATCAAATCTATAACCATACAACATATCTTTGAAATCCCCTTTTAAGAACACATGCCAAACATGGCCAGTTCTATTCCTTGATGGATCTAGCTGAATCTCCTCCGTCACTTTGTTCTGCAACGTGACCCAAATTTTGAAAAAGGGGTTTCTAAAAAATGTCAGATAAACCCAAAAACACTCGCTTTTGAAGATTAACCTGACGGAGATCGAAGAGAGAAATCAAGCAGATGGTAGCGGAAACGGAGTTTGTAGAGTAAACAGAGAAATTGACGCCGTCGTCTCTGATGGTGGCGCCGAATGGAGAAGGAAGTCCATCAGAGACGAGAAATCTCTCTGATTTAAGAGGTTTCTCTACTACGGCGATATTTTCAGCTTCGCTGCTTCTTCTAGCCTTGGCGGAAATCGAAATTGGTCGGAAGAGACGCTTGAAATTGGGCGAGGAGGATTTAGGAAAGGTGTGGTTAGAGAAGAGAATGTTGAGCTTGGTGTGATGAAGGAAACTGGAACTGCATTTGATGGAATCCATGGAAGCTCGAAAAGAGAGCTTCCAAAAGCGAGTGAAAGAGAGACGACGAAGTGTGTTTACACTCAAAGAGTGATCATTTTGATTTGATCTTTTTTTTTTACTATTGATAAGTGAAAAAAAATAATAAGTTACTGCACGTGGTAATAAATGGGCTTAGGGCTGGGCCTCCATTTATATACCCAATAACATGTTTCATTGATTTTATTTTATTTTTTGTGCACACATGTTTTATTGAAATAATCATGAAAATATTAATATGTGAAAATTGTTTGTATGCAAATATGATGGAGTGATACTAATAATAATCATATGAATTAATTGTGTTAAGAAAAAGTTAGAAAATCTTAACCCATTTTAGTGCCAATATCGTCCACCAAAACAAATTTTAATGTCACACGTTTCCTAATCGATCGTAAGATGTTAATTTGAAGCTAAATATCTGGTCCCTTGACTCCAAGAGAACATTGGGGACCATATATATATATATATATATCGACAATAATAATGAAAACCACAAAGATAAGTTATTTACGAATCTCTGATTTTAAGGAGTGACCATACATGCATGGTGACGCCGGGACCCTTGTTCAGATTCTTCTTAAACTACAAACAAAAATCTAATTATAATTTGGTCACGTACGTATGAATTCTTGTCGTCTACGTCACATATAGATGATTGAGATACATATCTTACAATAATTTAGAAAAGACATATATAATTGATCAAATTGCTCCATCCATTTATTACATAATTAATATAAGATGGATGATCGAGCTCTTCGGTCTAAGGAGTGGCCGGCCACATACTGATGACGCGGGGAACCGTTTACAAATTCTTCAAGTTCACAAAATTATAAACCCCTAAGGATAATTATATTACTTGTTAACATACGGTTTTAGACGACATATGAGACTATTAGCAAATTATGTTACTCATTGGATAGACCTATAATTATCGTCTAAAACCCTTTAATTAAGCACATAAAAACAGTTTTTAGCCGCGCTGCTGGATACATTTTGAATATAGAGAAAAGTTTGATCTGATTCCTTTTTTTATGTCTCCACCAAATTTGGAAAAGATAAAAAGAAGAGAAGAGAAGCTTTATGTGATCGAGTAAAGAAGATAAGCTGAGCATATCATCATGTTTGGATCTGATGACACAAAAAAGTCACGTGTGTATGTTCTCTGTTTTCTTGTGACCAATGGGTTAGATTTTTTTCAGATCTTGATTGAATAAAGATTCGTTTTGGCTTTCAAGCTTCTATCTACAAAGGTAAACAAAAATGTCGGCTTATGCGCATCAGATGGAGAGGGAATTCTCAGGTCTCTCTAGCCGAGGCAATTCCGGTATATATATTTATATTTCATAATCTTCTAACCTCTGAGTTTAGTATGATTCTTGAGTTAGATCAGAGTTATTGCAATCTTCTTGTCTATCTTTTTGCAGATTTGGGGAGTCGATATTCGATGGAATCTGGATGTTACATGACATCTTTAGCAGCTTCCATCTTCATAGCGTCTCTAGTAACATTTGGAGTTTTGATGATTACACTTCTTATAGCTTTATCAACTATGTTACAAAGCTGTGAAAACCGGAATATTGGAATCGTTGAGGCTCAAAGACTTGATGAGAGTTTCGGTTACTGTAAAATCTTGTCTCTACACTCGCAGCTCAATAGCTTGGGAGAAGAAAGTGAGTTACCATTGTTATGTAGAGATGTTGCTTTACGCAGAATCAAACAAGGAATTTACGTCAGAGAGTTAAACTTCACTATTCAATTGGCTCTCACTTATTTCCAAACCGTCAAACCGATGAATGATAACCGCGATGTTGTTGTGATCGATATTGATGACAGCAATCTGTAAGTGTTTTTGATTTTCATTTGCCTTTTGCAAGTTTTTAAACTGTTAACTTTTTTGTGCTTCTCTTTTTGTAGATTAGAACAAGAGAGTTATTACATGAAGTATATTGAAGAAGCAAAGCATCAGAAAAGCATACTAACACTTCAACTATATTCTAAGCTAAGATCACAAGGCTATTCAATGGTTCTGTTATCAAGAAGACCCGAAACAGAGCGGAACGCCACAATAGAGCAGTTAAAATCTAGAGGATACAGCGATTGGTCACATTTGATCATGAGGTTTGCAATAAACTTCAAATACTAATTTCATTCACATCAAAGTAGCAAAAAGCCAGAGATTAGTAAGAAGTTATATTATCTTATTGCAGGGAAGATACAAGACAAAAGGAAGAGTTAGAAAAAGGTCACCGCATAGTTGGAGTCATTGGTAATCATATGGATGTGTTAAGAGGCCAGTGGAATTGGCAAAGCAAACGTCTGTTCAAACTTCCAACCCTTGCTTATGATGATGTTTTGGATTACAGTGAAAGATGAGATCATGAAGTTTGATGTGTATAGGTTTTCAAGAGTTTTATGTCATATGGTTTCATATGTTCCAAAGATAATGTAAGAGACATATTGTAATTGTTCAATGTCTCATATATACATCTCTAGTTTCTTCTCCAATTTCCTGAATTTGGTCTGAAATTGGTCAATATCACATCACAAAGTGGGTGGTCACGTATCCAAGAGTATATGTAGCAAATCAGAATAGCTTAATAGTCAAGAGCCAAATTCTTACAATAAGTCGAACAGAAATTCGAGAATTAGAAGTGATTACATTGCATCACTAGGCCTAGACCAAACTAATATCGAGAATCATAAGAAAAAAAATGGCTGCTTTAGTCACGAACAGTAAGCCTCTTAAGTCAAACACACGCTCTTGAGATCAACTAGAGCTAGTCCATATATGTTGACTAACAGTGCTTAGATTTAGATCCTCCTGGTACTGACTCCACACTGACTCAAACTGTAGACTTTTGCACCTGTGAGAGAGAAAGAGAAGGAGCTTAAATAAAACAGAGAAAATGTGAACAATCTTTGGTAGTGAATTTGATAAGCCATAGAAACATACTGGCGGAGTAGCATCAAGATACGGAGGATAAGAGGTCTAATATCATCGCGATCCTTACGAATCGATGACTCTTTGTACAAGGAAACAAGCTCATCCACCAATCTGAAGGTCCAAAATCATAAGATGATTAATGTTAAAGAATTGATAAGAGGAAGAGTTTGAGTTGAAGCATCTAAAAGTTACAGCTCTTCAGTGTTTAGAGGCTTTAACCTTGGGATCACAGGTGAGTTTCTAATCCACGTTAACCTCACAATCGTCTCCAGTCTCTCAAGAACCTATACGGTATTAGCAGGTAATGAAACTTTCATGTTTATCTTAAAGAATATCAGAATGAGTTGGGAAATCATATCTACAAACTGTGAGGTGTGAAACAAGACCATACCAATAAAACGGTTTTGGCGTCGTCTGAATGCATCCACTGAAAGAAAAGAGGGAAGATACGTCGAAAATGAGCAAGTAAGAAAAGCCCTAGAGCGTTCAAGAGTGGCTCAACGAATCTTAGCCAAGCGATACATCGTTCCTTATTTCTTGGTTGACGTTCCAAATGACCAAGCATCTCATTCATGATCCTCTCGTACCTAAGGAAGAAAAAAATTCAAAATGAGTATAAGAAGAGCTGAGAAAGATGGAACAGTCAAACCAATCTATCGAATGACATGATCTTCTTAAAAGGAGTTAAACTGGATGCAATGCAAAGAAATTCCTACTTGCGTTTTAAGAATGCTAAAGCCACAAAGTGGAAGAAGTGTAGAAATTAAAGAAGACATAGGTCGATGAGAGCAACTTTTTTTATTTCTTATCTCTTCATCTTTTGAACCTTTTGCAATTGATAAGAGAAAGAGAGATTTACCACGGGCTTCGGGGATTATTTGGGTGGATTTTAGTCACAAGAAGCACAGATAACTCTACCACATATATCCAAATCTCATCATCGGATGCTATATTCTGGCAACAAGCATCAAGAACCACATCTCCATACAAACCAAGATCACCTGAACTCACATTTTTAGCGAGATGAATAAAGCTTATCATGCCCTGCCCCTGTCATCAAGTAAATAGAGAACATCATTCTCACATTGCCTTAAGATACTGAGTTTATAAAGCTTAAAATTTCCAAAGATGTAGTCTTAACCAGTAAAACTTTAGGAGTTTGCAACATGTTACAAATTACAACTAATTAGAAAGAACTCATCAAACTCTGCATCTCAAAAGACTTACTTTGACTTCCGGAGACCAATGATCAAGTGCTGTCAAAGCACAAGGAGCCACCAAGTTGCAAAATTTCACCAAATTCGGTTTCTCAACCTACCAAAAGACATCAACACCTCAAAAATTATAAAGTAGGCTTTGTTCACAACAGAACAGAACAATTCTCAATTTTAATAGTAATTCAGACCTGAGTCACAAACCACCTGAGCTGATGAGCAGCAAGTATCGCATAACCAACAGGTGTTCTTGCCATTGCAGCTGAAACATCCTCTGCATCACTGTTTTTACCAAGTGAACTCTTTTCGATTGTGTCTTTTAACTCCGGCAAAACAATCGGCAACAATTCGATTTTCTCACTATCCTCAGCATTACTGGTGCTGGGAAAATCACTGAAACAATCCCTTGAAATCTCACAAAATGCAGATTCTCCTGCGACAGAGAGGCTTTCGGGGATCCATGAGAGGAGTTCGTGAGTGGAGGAACGTGAAGAAGCGAGAAGGGCACAAGCAAGCGCGAGACTTTTGATCGATTCTTCATTGGTAAGGCGAGAAGACGAAGTGTTTGGTAACAAGGACAAGAGTATATCTTTGGTGGATACTTTGCTACTCTCTTGCGGTGTGTACTGTGTGCGTCTGAGAATCTCTGCTATTGGTTCTGATAATCTAAATCCTCAAAACAATTCAAAATTAGGGTTCTTCAAGATATAGCAAGTAAAGGGCAAAAAGCAGAGGCTAGAGAGAGAGAGAGGGATAACTAATTGACTCACCGGAGAAGACGACCATGGAGGTCAGAGGTTGTGCTCAACATTTTTCGAAATTGACAATTTTTTTGAGTCAAAGTTCGAATCTTTACACAAATCAATTGTGTTTTTGATTGATTTCAGTTTCACTCTGTTTTACTGGATTTTTTAAAAAGCTGCTTTTGATTTTAATGAAGAACCGGACCGGACATGACCAAAGATAGTGATTTGTCTGGTCTAACATGCCGGTTCGGTTCAGTTCAAAAGACCAAGATCAGAGCCAAAAGTCCTCAGTTATTTATAGATGTGGAATCACAACAAGAAACTCAGAGAAGACTGGGAGAAGTTTATGCCTGGTTCAATTATGGAAGAAAAAGAACATGAAGAAGCGAATACAGGTAAACAACACATCACAGACACAAAGACAAACAGACTTAACTTAAAATTGGAAAGAGAATTTTAAAATCAAGATTCGGGAACGGCTGCTACAGCTGCAGCAGCTGCGGTAGCAGCAGCAGTAGCGCGTTTGATGGAAGCAGATTTGATGAGATGATTGTAACTTCCTTTCTCCTTGAAAAGCTGAGCGAAATGGTGCTTGCAATACAAAATTCCCTCAAGAGCTGCATAGTTCGATGGAGAAATCGGACAGCCTCCATGAGAACACTTGAAGCAAGATTTATGGTAACACTGGCTTTCAACAGTTACCTACGGTTTTCAGAAAACAGAACAATAAGATAACGATTTGAAAGAGATCTCAAAGTTCCTATTCTTGTATAATCCACTATGATTTTAAGATCACAGGGAGAGTGCAAAGGTGAAGTGGAAAGCAACAGTAATGGTATATACATAAGAAATGTATATTAACCTTTTCGATAGGATACACAGTTTTACTGCAAGTAGCGCATTTGTCTTGTGTTCCAGAGAACATACCAGCAAGTCGACTAGGTGTCCTTGTCTGAGAACAACCAAGAAGAGAAATAGAGTCATGTATCTCTCAATTCGTGTAACTAAATAAAAACATGGACGCGTTGTTAAGAAGCGTTTACCAGCTCAGGGGTTGGCTTATCAGTCAATGGTTTTGCAGCTGTGAAAGGAAAGAGAGTTTGACGATTAAAACTAAAGAGACATCACAAGTAAAAGTTGGATCAGAAGGTGAAGAAAAGAGTTTACATACGCGACTGAAAGTTCTTGCTGAAACTACCAGACTCTTTGAAGAGCTGCTCAAAATGAGGCCTACAATACACCACTCCTTCCATTGATGAATAATTGCTCAGCTGTTCACAAAACCATCAACACATTTTAACTTGATCACTTAAAAGAAGACCAATTCAGATCCAAGTATCTCTCTAGATAAAACTCTTAATGAAAACCTCAAAACTTTTACAACACATAACTACATTCATAATTTCCTTAAAGTTTCAGACATATAGTAACTATATCCAGGGATTGCTTATGGAAAACAAGGCCATTCAAGCTCTACTGGTAAAGCTTGAATCTTGAATTTCAGTATAATCAGAACATCCATATAGATAACAAGGAATTGACCAAACATTGATACATAGAGTGAAGAAGGGAAAGCAAAAGAGGAAAACTGACTTGAAGTCTGCTTTTGCAGTGAGAGCATTTGAAGCAAGACTTGTGATAAGAGATTCCATCAGCTGAGAGAAGCTCCACAGGGTACACAGTCTTCTCGCACGCCCTGCATTTCTGCTGAGTTCCTGTAAACGACATCGTTTTGGAGATCTTCTACCTCCAAAGATCTCTCAGCTTAAAACCTCTTCCTCTATAAACATTTCAAAACCACAACACAAAGAGGTTTACAAAAATCCCAGTAACACATTCTTAGCTATTTTGCATCAATTCAAGATATTCAAACAAATCAATCCGTCGATCGATAACTACAAATTTCGATTCAATCACAACATAAAAATCGTATCTTTTTTTTCTTCTACAGGAATAACAAAAAAAAGCTGATTTTTTTAACAGAATAAATGCGTAAAGAACTAACAAAAGGCAAAATGGTTACCTCTTCGTGGATCTGATCAACAAAAACGAAAAATGAGAAATCAAAAAAGAAAACCAAAATTGAGAAGAGAGAAATGCAGGTTGAAATTGAAGCTGAAATGAAAAGAGAATCAAGAAGTCGCTGCGTGAAGATGAAGAAGAAGATGAAAAGTAATGATTATGGAGCACGACGATGGACAAAAAATAATAATGAGATGAGATAAATCTAAAGCTTTCGTTTTTTATGTTGAGCTTTGGTGGAGACAGTGGGGTTCCACTTTGGCCTGTCTAAATTATTGTTTTAATTTCAAATTAAAACAGCTAATCATTGAAAGATTAGATTTTTATTAAAAATCCATTAACTAAACCAAACAAAATTCTGTTTCTTATCTTCTCTATCTCACTAAATAAAGGTTTTTTAAGTTTAGGTGTTTTCCTCTAATCCTATACTATTATTTGGGGAGTACAATTTATGGATTACCCTTAATTAACCTTCCCCTTTGTAAGAATTTACTTAAGAATGCCATTAGAAATAAAATTTTATAGAGTAAATTAATTCAACTCATTAAGGATAAACAAGTCAAATACTATTTTATGCAATTTAATTAAATTAATTTAATTATAAAAACGAAAATCTATTATTAATTTCTTTAAAAAGAATGACCAATCAAAATGAACATATAAGATTTGATATCTAACTTACCATATTAATTTGTTATTAATCATTATACTTCACCTCTCATCTTTATATGATTCTATTTCTAAAATAAATAAATCATTATATCCTCTATATAATAAAAAAAAAAGTAAATTTTTTTCCGCATATACCAAGATTTGAATTTTTAAAAACGAATATAAATTATTCAATGTATGAAAGAACAAATTTAACGGGTCAAAAATTCATATTTGAGTAATATATTCCTTTTTTTTTATATCATCAATACTTAATAGAGCAAAAATTTATGAAGTATAAATACTCTAATTTGATTTTTTGAAACAAAATAATCTACGTTTTAGATGCGATTCATTTATGATATTTTAATTTTTGATCTAACTAAATTATATGCAATCTCATTTTGTGGTTGTTAACATAAATTAACTCATTATTCAAATAATATTAATTTTTTTAAAAAATAATCTTAATTTCAGTTTTCATATCTTAAAAAAAAATATCCATAATTGAATACTATAGAAAAAGGAAAATATATTCATTCTAATATTATATATAAGGACTGACAAAAAAATATTATTTTTTCACTTACTATTATAATATATCACAACTTTATTCTAAAACATAAAATTTATAAATTTTGTAATAAATGAAATTCAACCCGTACTACAGTACGGGTGATGATCTAGTATGATTTACGTTTCTAGTAGAGATGATTAAGTAAATGACAAGTTGTGTTGTGGACTATTACAACTGATTTTCAATAATTCAACTTTATTCCATTACTTAAATTAATGTAAATACAATAATATTCGTTTTTTTTTCCACTATTACAACTGATTTTGATAATAGGTTGTGCTGATGTTTTCTATGAGCCCACATAGTTCAGAGATTTGTCTCCCAAAAATGAAATTTAATTAAATTTCTCAATCTATAATTTTTTTTCTCAATCTATTATTACAACTGGCTCAAGATTGAATAAAGTAAAAAAAAAAAAAAAATATAGATTGAGAAATTTAATTAAATTTCATTTTTGGGAGACATCTTTAAGAAATTCCTTCAAGCTAAAATATATTCAAAATACCACTTTAATCATGCAATTTATTATAATTGACTAATAATTCTTTGATGGTAAATTTTCAAAATGACATGATGAAACTAGTCTTTTGTATGCTTTTTAAATTTTAAAACTTTATTTATTTATTTAGGCTCTAATGGTAAGACAAAGAGAGAGAGAGAATACAAGCTTATGGTAGGAGATATAAACCTGCCTAAGAATAAAAATACAATTGACTATATATATAATGAATTACAAATCTGCAAAAACATGGAAGTTTTTTGAATCAACGGCGATGAGTCTGACAGCTGCAATGGCTGCAGCAACCGACATCAAACTGAAGAAGACAACGTTAAGCCAATGCCATAGCTTTTGCATAGGATTTAGCTTATTGCTCTTTGCCTTATAGTACATGTGGTTGGCTAGAATGAATGTGAGAGGAAATGTGCTCACTGCACCAGTGAGGCTCATGAAATCACCGAGGAACGGCAATAGCGCTGAGATAAGCGTGCTAACCGCTATGTACCCTCCTCTCGCCATGATCCTAAACAACAAGTTCTTTATCGCAAATGGGTTTCCTTTGATCCCAAACTTTGTGTCCATGTACTCATATGTTGGACTCGCAAATATCTACAACAAAGAATTGAGTCAGACAAAAAGTTAGAGACAGTCTTCATTGAAAAGCGTAGACTTGGCGCTAAGAAACTTACGTGTAAAGAGATAACGGATTGAAGGATAGCGGAGATGTTAGCAAGGGCTTTGACCCAGAGTGGGCCATTGACGCTGTTTAGTAGATAGGTCGAGGTTGAGGATCCGTATGCCCAATATCCGATGAATGTAACTGCGTACATCGGTAGAACACCCGCTGTGAATTGAAAGTATAGAGCCTTCATCATGTTTTTAACAACGGGTTGCCTCACTGTTGCCTAACATTGTGGAAATTATAGTGTCAATAGACAAACAAATTTTGTTTAAGATGCAGGTTTTACTTGAACAAATTGTACAGTAAGCAAACAGAAACAAACAATTGAACTTTGAAGCCTAAGAAAAAATCACCTGAATTTCTGGAAGCATCCCGGTGTTAAATGCGAAAACCAGATTAGCGGCTGCTCCTGTGATGGTAAAAAGTTTGCTTAATGATGATCCTTGTATCTCGTAATCTCTTGAAGGTGTTTTTACGCCTACAAACAAACAAAACAGAGCAAAGAATCAGATTTTGCAGTAGTTAAACCCATAAGTAATGTTGAATCTTGATCATCATTTGATTAGTCATACCATCTCTAACCGATAGCACAATTGCCACAACGATATAGATGAGACTGAGGAAGGTCGAAACTGCAAGCCAGACCCCAAGAGCAGATAAATGAGGAATCCCAATAGCGAAAATCGCACAAATCAAACCAGCAATGGCAATAAAATGAGGTAGTTTCATGGTATGATCATCCCTGAAAAGCACATAAACAGCCTGCAGAAACAGAACACACACCCAAATTAACTAACTCGTCTCACGAAATCAAGAATCAAGAGAGAAAATGTTAACTACCTTCAAGGCAGAACCAGCTAGGATGATGAATCCACAATTAATCATGAAAAGATTGACATATTGCAATCCCCATGTAAGATGATAAGCCTTTCTACCTGATAAAAAGAGAGATCATTTCAATGAAGATAACAACAGAGAGGAACAACATAAAGCAGATTAAGAGAGCTGGTTTGGTCTTTTATACCGTAAATGAATCCAGCGAGGTCTCTATAGCGAATGTGTCTTCTGCCACCAAACTCATGAAGCTTAGCTATGAGAGTGTTTGCATAAAGAGAGATTGCAGTAGCAAGAATAAGACCAACCACACCACCAATCCAACCTAAAGGAACCATGATTGTTCCTGAATATCCCAACACATACGCGCTGTTTATACCGGTGGTCAAAACGAACGCCACCTGAAACCATGAATCTGTACATTTCCACAAAACATACTATAAGCTTCCCAATACATGATCTCAGATTATAGAAAGCAGAGTTCGGCAAAGCAACAAAATTTCCCAATCTTATGGTTGTAAAACTTTTTGAGAGTCAGAGGGAGAAGAACCCATCAAGAAACTTGAACTCCATATCGAATTATCACATTACAGGATCATTAAAGACAACATTTTTAAGAAAGGGTCATCATTAAAATCATCAAAGTCAACATTTTTAAGTGGTCAGAGTCATCATTGGCAAAAAAAACTATTTCAAAACTACATAAGAAGCTAAATGCCAATGGGATTCTCATTTCTTCTTCCTGGTATACCTTTTTCATATTTTAATCAAAAAATAAAATAAAGAACTTGAAATTGGGCGACAATCCCCAGAGATAAAAAAAAACAAAACTTTTTTCACACATCTAATCTAAGCAAACACATTCTCATCGAAACCAAAACAAGAATTGGAATAGAGAAAACAAACCGCTGCTAATTTGATGAGCAGTGTCAGGGATTTCGATATCAACAACATCATTTCCATCTCCGACATTGATTTTGCGATTCTTAGCTTCGGTGGCGGTCATGGTCGCTAAGAGACTTTCTCTTTCTTCTTCTTCTTCGACCACATGAAGAAATTTTGAGAAAGCCAGCTTTTATAATTTTTTTACAAAAAAAGATCTCTTTTTTTAGCGAATTTTTCTCCTTCACTAATAACGAAAAAAAGCTTCGCTTTTGATTGAAAGAAAAAAGAGCCCAAGAATCCAGCTCGATTCGCAACTGATATAAAACAAAAATCTCTAATCAGTCAAAAAAGAAAAGAGAGAGAGATTACAAATCGAATCGAAGAACAAAAGATGGATTCTTTTTATTAGTGCTTCTTTCTTACTTGCGACAGAAATTATAAAAAAAAAAAATGGTATTGGTGGGTCTCAGCCGTTGAGGTTTCTTGTCTGAATTTGTTATTTTGCATGAGAGATCCTATAACAATGGCGATATTTTTATTTTTAAATTGTAAAAAAATATTTATAATTAAAAAAACATATATCTGCCTTATTAATGTCTTTCCATTTTTTTAGTTTTTTTTTTATTAATTTTATTTTCTTCTGTTAGCTGATATTTTTGTCTAGTTGGGTTATTTTGAGTTTTGAGTATTTTATTTTCTTTGCCAAGTTTTGGTTTATTTATTTATTTTATTTTATAAAGTAAATGTAATGAATTCATCTTTTCGAGAAGATACTTTTCTGCTGACGAATAATAAATGAAAATGTTCGCGTAGTAGGGAAATATGGATTTAAAACAAGTGAGAACAACACAAACTATTCTAAAAAAACTAAAATACGTACATTAGATTTGTGTTATTGTCGTAGTTACCCAAGTTGAATGTTACTAGCTAAGTTTAGTTATATATAATTCTCAAGCTACTAATTTTGGATACATATTTGTTTTCTTGTACCAAAAATATATAGTTTGAGCTCAAATACCCGATTTGTATACGTTTGTACTTGGCTTTTATGGGTTTTCTTAAATTATTTGTGCAAGTTTGATATGTAGAAGGAAACACGTTAAGTAAACTATTGATAGTGATTGTTTTATGTTAAGAAAAAAAAATGTTGATAGTGATTTGTTTTATAGTTTAAACAAAAGGTTAGGCTGATATGCGTGGAAAACTTCTACATCAGTTAAAAAGGAGAGTTTATAAGTTAACATATTAGAGAATCTGCATCTTTAGTCAAAAATAGTCAAAAAATAGTCTCTTTGATTCTCGATCATTTTGAAACTTCAATACATTCCCTTTTACACAATTTTAATATTTTTTTTATCTACAATTGAAAGTTCTTTTGCCTTTAGAAAATAAGTTTAAAATTGTTACTATACGAAAAAAAAAAATACAGTTGGGTTTTCATCGAAATTATAGATATATATAGTTAATTATATTTACACATATTTTAGAGAGCAAGTTGATTGGAGGCGGAGCCATGCAAGTTACAGTCTATTGGCTGAGGTTAATGGCAGAAACCAGAAGGGCACAACTTCCTAAAACTCTTAAAACCATTTGGAGGTACCAACTCAGATTTTATGCATTCTCCAACTGTACAAATTAATTAACGGACTCACTCATGTTTTGAATCAATCTGTACATGATTGCATAAGTTAGATAGTTTTAGTAATCAATAAATCCGAGCGACTTGGTTTACTGAAATCATATGCCACTCACTGACCATGACACAAAACAAAATTCTTTGTAGCGAAGTATAATACATTTTGATTACCAATAAAAAAAATTAAAATAATTATTTAGATGGTGGACATCGGCAACTTTTTATTAGTGAAGTTTCCTTTTCTTTAACAGGAGTTTTTGTTCCAAGTGGGGTTTTAGATGAATATTGTTTTTGACGAAAAAAAAAAGAACATATTCATGACAATTTTAAAGTGAGGTAAGTTCAAAAGAAAATAAGTTTTCAAGGTTACAAAAGCCTGTATTCCTAATTTTTTAATGAAAATATTGTTGATTCGGCTAATATTATTGACATTGTATGATCTTATGTATACACTCGTGCAGTTGAGTTACTGCTTTAGATGTTGGTAAGTTATAAGTTAACATGCATAAAACAACGTTCCTCTATACATATGTATACATGAATGTATATGATAGTTGAGAAATTAATTAGGAATAAGTATATCTCGTTTATATCCTAGATGCTTTGAAGTGCCTTAATAATGGAACATAAAGGAGTGTTAGTGTTGTGGACGCAATTAGTTTCAAGGTCACTTCATAACAAAGTCTAGATTTTTTTTTATTCCTATAAGCAAACTTTGAATTGCTTTTAACACCGAAAAGAAAGAGAAAGGCGAAAACATCTTTTAGACCATCTTTATTTTGGTAAGAATATAATTTGGTAAGAAAATTGACTAACAAAAGTTTTCTGAGTACAATTATTGATTGATAAGATATGAAGATGCCAATCATTTTCATCTCATAACATTGTAATATTTTAATGTGATTAAAAAATTGCACACAAGAAAGTTTTGATCAAGATGTGCATGGGGATGAATGGGTAATAGATCATTTTTGGGATCTGAAAATATTGGGGTTAAGAAAATTTGGGTGGTGCAAGTGAATTACAATTGAGTCCTTGAAACTCCACTTAAAACATTCCTTTACCGCTTCTCAGCCACTGTCATTGGGTTGAAATAAAGTTTGAATCACCTTCGCAACCATGTGTTCAAACTCAAGACATATGGTTCATGTAGAGGCCACTAGAGCACTCTTAACTGCACTTGGTAGTAAATGAGGAGCACTTCCAGCTCATCTTAAATCTGGCAATATATATTGCTTGACTGCTTTAGCATGTACATAATAAAGTTTCACCAAGGAGTCTTCAAGAAAATTATTTCTCCCGACAAAACTCAAGATAGGCTTAGTGATCCCAAAATTAGACAAATAATTCATCCTTACTTCTTGCATTTGCTAGTATTAGCATTATTCATATCGAAGATAGGCATGAACTAGTTGAAAAAAACATGTCCAACTACTTCCTCAACAAAACTCGTCAAGACGAGTACCTGTCTGCAAATCCACGGTTAGTTCATATTTAGGAGCCACTCATCTCCATAGTCTTTAGTGACCTATATTCCTATTCCTTACTGAAATTTTTGAGGTAAGCCCATGAAAACTGAAATGTGCAATTCATAATGGATTTTTACATATATATATTCAGCCAACATCATAACAGTTTGGATTTACAAAATCATAGGCTCTCTGAATATACTAAAATTAAGAGCACTTTGTGTCAGTGAAGTTGCAATAACCGCTAGATATAATCACCATGAGAAAACTAAGACCAAGGTGTAAAATTATGGATGTGTAAATCACCATGAGAAAACTTTGGTTTTACACGAACTAGGGGTAGAAGGAGACGGTGGAATTTCAAATGTCGCATAAGAATAAATTACATCGCCCTTCTTCCATATTTGTCGGTCCACCAAAATCTTTTGCACCTAAACAACATCAAATTCAAAGTCATAACTCTGTTTCTTTTCTAGTTTAATTTGTTCATTTAGGTGTTTTTGTGCTATTTTCTTCTTTTACCCAAACTGATTGATTAGCTTTTTCAATTAATGTTACTTCATAATTGGGAGAAAAATGATTGTAAGAACGAATAGTACGTAGAGATATGCATTTCGTATGTACAATATGCGTATCCAACTGTCCATGCTTGCAAATAAATTTAGTCTACCACGGAACTAATGATGTTGTCCTCAAATTAATCGTGAGTTGCTATTTTCAATAGTTGAACATTACTAATTTGGAGTTTAATTAGATCGTTACAAAATATCGATTTTTTTATGAATTAGAAAGAAAAAAAAAACATAGGTGCTATAGAGACCTCCAAACACCGATTAGAACAATAAAGTAATTAACCATTGTATATAACAAACTGAGTATTTGATTAGGGTAAGAGGTTAATTGTTCTAAGTCCTACATTAACCAATATATATGTCCTTGTTTAGTCAAAGGTCTTTCTATTTTACGAGATCCAACGACTTTGGGATTTGGGATTTCAAACTACCAGGTAAGCATGAAGTACAAAGTATAGTCTCGAATGAATGTAATTAGAGTTATACTACCATATATTTGGGGAAATAATTGATACGACAGATATATAGTATTGAAAGAACGAAAGTTTTCGGAAATAGCCATGGATGTATTCTCAGAGAAATTTTAACCTTTTAAAACTAACTTTGAGCTAATTTTAATTGGAAAATCGATCCCAAAATCCAATGAAGAAGAAATTAAAAAAAAAAACAGGTAGGTGACTTCTTCTTTTTTTTGGTTTTGCATGCTTAGGTCAAAATACTTTGAAACTTAATTACCTTTTAAAAAATTGGACTGTAAGAAGAGAGTTCGTATATACTGTTGTAGGCTGATATCAAAGGTTGGGGAATCTTAAAGCTAGCAAGGTTCCCGGTGAAGCATCAGGCTGGTTGATTTAGATCGAAGAGGAAGCTACCGAAGGATGAATCCAAAGAGATAGCATGATCCAAAACCAAGCAAATTTTTTTGATTTGTTTGCTAATTATTAAGAAAATATTGGGGCGAATTCACCTTTATTAGGATCAATGCGATCCCTTTGGATCCTTCCTCTAGTTGCTATGAAGAATTTGTTCTCTCTAGATCTCTCTCTCTCTCTCTCTCACTAAAAGTTGAGAGCAATGTGGTTTTTGTCAATGGATCGTGTTCCTCTTGATTTTAAATAACACTCATTTATCTTTTAGTTTCCACTTTCTGACCCTTCAAATTTATTTATTTATATTTATATTATTTTCCAACTTTTGGTTTTCCATTTTTATATTGACTTATTGAGTAAACCAGACGTCTACGTTTCTGTACAAAATTTTATGGGCTCTAAATAAGTATACGGTTTAGCTGTTGTAATTTTACTTTATTTTGTTAGTGGAATGAGTTTGCTACACTGTAGAAAAATTATATGGTGATTTTTGCGGTTGACACATGCATAGATGAGCACAAAACTGTAATTTTCTTAATGGACTCATCTTTAAAATTGCAACCCAGTGTTCATGATGGGTAATAGGTCACAAATGACTAAATGTTTTCTCTATATGT